ACAATCAGTGCCGTCACAAACGCCTTCCACGAGTACATGCGTGATTTCTTTTCCCGCGTATCGTAGATGTCTCGCCGCTCGATGAATAACGGTTGGAGCTGGTTGATCACACCGGCGGCTACGAAAACGAAATTGAAGACAGTGAAGAGACGAAGCTGCATGTCGCTGACGCTGTCGCCAATCATCCAGAAGGTAAAGCCGTTGAAGAGGGCAGACGTGATGTGCAGGGCAACCTTGTTGTTGATGTAGTCTGTATTGCGATAGAGGGCGAGATTCATGCGACGCGTGACGATCATGGTCTGCTCCCACAGGGGAAGAGCAAATTCGCTCAGGTCCGGCTCGCCGACCGGGCGCTGCTCTGCCTCCTTAACCATTTTATCAAGCTCACTGAGCCGCTGAGTGTGCTCGGGTGATTCCATCCAGACCTCATGCCAGTCGCGTTTCGACAGGCGGCCAGTGACCACGTCGATCATGAACTCCGCCGGATTTGACTCGGGCGGACAAGTGACCCCGTTGCGAGCAAAGTAATCCTTCATGGTTTGTGCATTCTCCCCAATGTCACCGAAGTACACCATCTTACCCCCCTTGGCGAGTAACAGCAGAGTGTCGAACTGCGTAAACAATTGGGCCGAAGGCTGATGGATAGTGACGAGGATCGCTTGCCCTAGATCTGCCAATCCACGCAGGAATCGCACCGTGTTGAAGGCCGATTGACCATCCAGTCCCGAAGTGGGCTCATCGAGGAAGATGAGGATCTTAGGCTTCGAGACAAGCTCGACGCCAATCGTCACTCGCTTCCGTTGTTCAATACTAAGGCCCGCCCCGGGTTTTCCAATCAAGATATCCGCGATGTCATGAAGCTCAAGCAAGTCAATAATAGCATCGACGTAGGCGAGTTTTTCCTCTCGGGGGACATGCGCGGGCTGTCGCAGCAAGGCCGAAAATTCCAGCGCTTCGCGAACGGTCGTCATAGCCTCGTGGACATCCAGCTGCTCACAATACCCGGCGGATCGTTGAAAGGAGACATCAAGAGGGCGGCCATCCACGAGAATTGAGCCTTGAATCGTGCCATCTGTCTTGCGTTGGGCCAGGACATCCAAGAGAGTGGTCTTCCCTGCTCCGGACGATCCCATCAGGGCTCCGAGCATGCCTGGTTTGACCCAGCCATAGATGTCATTCAGAAGGACACGGTCGCCCTGCGGGGTTTTGACGGTATACTTAAGATTTCTCCAGGTGATTATCGAGGTGTTCCGGGCGATGGTGGCGGCGTTGGGGGTGGGAGAGATGGCGGTCGATGACTTGTCGGGCCTGCGGTCGTCCGGAGAGGCCTGGGACTCTTCATCGACTACGAGACGGCCCTTCTGGGCCAATTCGTAGGGAACCAGGCGCGTGGCCCCGGTGGCGCCCCGGTCCCTCCAACGCATGGTTGCCAGTACTGTAATGCCAACAAAGAGCGCCCACCAGCACCACACGATGCCGAAATTCCGCCAGACGTGGCTGTGACTATAGCTCAGCGAGTGCAGGTATTGATCACCCGTGAGCGAGACCTCTCCGTGCACGGCTCCACCGACGCCAGCACAGGAAGCCTGCCCCGGAGTAGCCGAATAGCCGGGGCCAGCGGGGATGATATTGCCCCCCACGCAGTCGATAACCTTACCGTGAAACTCGTTGGACAGCACGGATTCAAAGGCGTACGCAAGCGGATCGATCCAGTAAATCCAGACAAACCACGGGTGCATGTCGGGTTTCTGAATCATATAGCCCGTATACATGACCAGGGCGGAGATCAAGAACCCAGACACTTTGGACGCTCCGTCAAAGGTGCGGAAGGCCGCACCAACCGCACGGAACATGGCTGTGATACACTATAGACACGACGACGACAGTTAATAATTGGGGGTACCCTCAGCTATAAATAGATTGTCTTGCAAACGGAGGGGGGAGGCCTGAAGCCATCAGACCTATCGCCACTGCCACTCACCATTGTCGTTGCGAAGAGCATAATCCAGTAGGTAAAGAACGCCGCTGCCGAGGAGGTGAGGCCGACCATGAAGTAGATGATAATCCCAAAGGCCGTGATCTGAATCAGGACCATGGGGATATCTGCGGCGATTTGAGCGATACAGAAGGCGGCCGGATGAAAGTAGGCGAATGACTTGTGCTTAATCAGGACCGGACGGCCCGTAAATGAATCCACAACCTCGGACATGCCCATTAGTGCGTTGTAGAGCAGGGAAAAGAAAAGCGCACCACCCCGGATGAACAGTCCTGATGAATCGGCGGCGGCATTGTAAAACAGCGAACCCGCGATCAAAGCCTGAACGAGTGTAGACATTTGCTTGATGGCGAAGGAAGCCATGTCGCCAAAGGTTATTTGATACTGTCGCTGGATGCACGTCCACACCTGCTGTGGGAAGGTCACTGTCATGGGGTCCGTAGCTTTCACGCCTTTTTGCTTCTCGAATGCCACGCTGGCGCAAAAAGCCTCCGTGTTGGCCTGGGCTTCGGGCGAGGAAGCATAGGTGTACTCCTTCTCCATGTTTTTGCGGATCACCGAGCCCTCGTAGATCTGCAGTATTGCGTCTGCGTTCTCCGGGAAAGTGCGGAAGGAGGGGTCGATAAGACGCTCCGTAGGAACCGTGAGGCCGGTCAAGTAATCGCCGATGTTGGCCCCGGGCCGGCAAACAAAACCCAGGTTCTCCATGAACTGCCTTGCCTCGACGCGGGGGCCATAGAAGATCTGCTTCCCTTCGTCCAGGACGAGCACCTTGTCGAAGAGATCGTAGATGCCGTTTCCTGCTTGGTACAGGGTCACGATCGTGGCCAGCCCCAGCTCAGTGGTCATATATCGGAGGGCACGCGCCCAGTCCAGCGCCGAGCTTGCATCCAGCCCACGGGTACTGTTATCCCAGCAGTAGACAGAGGCATTGGTGGCCAGGCATTCGATGATGGAGACCCGTTTCCGCTCCCCTCCCGAGACTCCTCGCACGTACTCGTTGCCGACCTTGGTATTCTGCGTGTGTGCAATTCCCATCGACTCAAGCAAGAACTCCTTGCGCTCCTGGCGGTATTCCTCAGCCGTCTGGGTTTGACCGTTCTTGGCGTTGGCGGGAATGTGCCCCGGGACCTTCAGACGGGTGGCAAAATCCATCGTCTTGTTAACGGTGAGCGAGGGATAGAAGAGTTCGTCTTCGGTGTTCATGACAATCTGACCCCTGTAGGGATGTGCCTCGTCGCTGGTCATGGAGCCATAGTGAACATCCCCTTCGACCTGAGCATAACCTTCCCGGTCGTTGGCGAGCATCTTGAGCAGGGTCGTACAGCCCGCCCCGGGCCGGCCCAGCACCAAAAGCATCTCACCCGGCTTGACACAGCCATGCGAGTCGGACACGATGGTCTTCAAGGCCGGTTTCTGGCGTGCCTGCCGTGCCTGCCGAACCATAGCAAATTGACTGAGCACATTTTCGTTCATGGCGGCCCCTGAGCTGATGCCCTTGACCGTCAGATTCCGCCAGGTGACCCCCAACTTCCGCTCAGCATATCCTTCCTCCTGCATGTTCTGGTGGAAGGTTTGTACCAAGAGACCCAGCTCCCATCCACCGGAGTCTAAAGTATGAAGTGTGATCTCCTCCGGCTGAGTGATGCTGCCCTCATTAGGGCTGCCGGGCAATTTGTTGGCCATTTCCCTGTGGTAGTCGGCCCCAAGTGTCGGTTGGAAGATGCGGCTTTGGCAGAAGCGAAGCGAACAATCGAGAATGAAAATGGGAAAGGCAAAAGCGAGCGAAAGAAAGACCTGTAGTCAAGTAAGATATGGGTAGTGAGGGTGCTTTGGGAAGATTTCAGACCAAGTGGATGGTGCTGTAAATAAAGGAATGGATGACTGTGTGAGGCAAACAGCAATTAATCAAATCGAAGGAAGGAGGGTGAACCAACAGCGAAAGACGGGAACTCTCGATTTGGTCACGGGCAGAGGATAAGGGGGCGATTAAAATGATGAGAACAGACATGCCCGTGTATGTATGTATAAGAGTTGCTAGGGCTAATTGGAGTAGGGGTACAGCTCCTGTATAATTCGAGCATTATGACTGGCGCGGAGGATCCCCGGAAGGTCCTCCGCTCGGAAATGCCGACCTGCCGCGATTTCGGAGGATGTCACGTGGTTGCCACTTTGCAATGCAAGATTTCCCAAATGCTTATCTTCTGCGAGGTATACGTACTGTATACTATACGAGTACGGCCATTCCAGACCTCCGACCGATCTCTCCTGGCTAGACTAGACTACGTATTTCCGTTCCCGACCCGAAGATCCACCATCGTTCTGGAAGACCTGGATCTTCTGGCTTAAGTTCCGGTTCCCGCCTGTTAGTTCGACTTGAGGAAAGACTTCAAATTTCGAACAAGTTTAACCTTTTCTCTGGACCTAAAAGAAAAGGAAAGGGGGAAAAAAGAAAAAGCACAAGAAAAAAAAGGAAGAAAGAAAAAGCGTTATCTACACTTGCCCCTTCTAAATAGCAGAAAGTGAGCTCAACGTAACTTATTTGACCTCTCCCTTAGTGTCATAAAATTGAACTTTCCCTCACTCACATCTTCCTTCTCCCTCTTACCTTTTCCACCCTTTCCTCCAGTCGAGTCCAAAGGGAGTCAGAAACATGGACAATTACTCTCGAGCATCTTCGGGAGGTCGTTCTGGTAAACACACCCCCCGAGCCTGTGACTCATGTTATAAGAGGAAGGTGAGCATTTCCGCTACCGACGACCCCCTCTGTCTCACGTGCTCCATGACAGCTGGACAATGGCAACTGAACAGATGGTAGATCAAATGCGACGCAGCATTGCCTCGATGTAACTATTGCAGTCACCATAATTTCTTGTGCACATTTACACGTCCAAAACGACGAAAAGTCGCTGGTCAGTAACCGGCGAACAAAGCGTCGCCGTGGGTGGTCCAGGGTCTTCAGGGTCAGTCCAGCCCTAGCTCGCTCGGCACAGACTCCACCCCCATGATCTTATCCTGTATGAGTAACTAAAGCCCCTTGTGCTGTCTCGCAGCCGAGAACGAAACTCCATCCTCAAGACTCCAAGAGACAAGCGACAACAGCCTCCTCCGCAATGACCGACCCCTCGACAATCCGCCCGTGGGCCTACACTTCGCCGGGCGAAGACAGCCCCCGCTGACCTTGATCTGGGGGGTTCCGACCTTCTCGCCTGAGGCAAAGCACTGGGTTTCATGCACCACTGGGCAGACTATGGCCTTTGCCAAGGTCTATGACGAGGGCGCACCGGGAGAACGGCTGGTCTGCCTCGACGCCGAGATCATCCGCATCAGGTCTCAAACGACGGATATCTGTAGCCTACCCCGACAAGCCCTAATCGAGTCAGTCCTGCAGGCATACCAGTCCTCCCACCTCCGCAGCCGATACCCGGTGGTGGAGCCCATCCTGTTCCGAACTACAATTGCCTCCGCATATAACCAGGACGGACTCACCCTGGACACGCGCAATGCCAGTAGCCGAGCCTGTGTTTGCGCCTCCTTGGCCTTGATTCCCTTGATCTTGGAAGACTACCATGCCCTCTCCCCGGCCGAGTGTGACACCTTCGCGACCAAGGCCAAATGTCTCATGGCGGAAGCGCTCAACGGGCCTCCCTCGTTGGACTGTTTACAAGCCGCCGTCATGTTGGTCGGTTCCCCTGCAGCCCCTTTGCTCTCTCGTGTCCCCAGTTTCCGGAGGTTGATGAGTTACTGATTTTTCGGCCTTCATGCCGCATGTTCCTCGCTCCAGAGCCTTCATGGAATGATCACCAGATCCCTTCAGACGGCAATTTATTTCAATACCATAGCGGCACGTTTGGTGTTCATGCTGGGTGGACACATCACTGATCACGAGATTGATGCTTCGTCGCCAGATTTTGACCCATGCGCGGCCAGTCACGCCCGGAACCTATTCTGGCTTTGTTACTTGACAGACAAAGGCTTGACCTTTCGTTGTGGTCAGCCGCCTGCAATCGACGATTCACAGTGTGACCTGCCCTTACCCCCCCACTATACGCAAAACGTGTATCCGACGGTCGGTCTTTCAACGCACGACCTTCCGGATACCATCATCTTTCCATTTGACATTCGCCTGGCGATGATCAAGAGCAAGATCTTTGCCAATATGTACTCGGCATCATCGCTCCGCAAGTCCCAGTACGCAATCGAACAGAGTATTCGCGAGATTGAACAGAACCTCGGAAACTGGAGAAACTCGATACCTCCTTCCTGGCAACCGCCCCCGGTTGGTCTTATGACTGAGCATGCGGTTACGCTTCGCCCGCCGCCTAACATTCTCCTGACCTGGTTTGAGTATTATCAGTGCGCATGCATGTTACACTTGGTCCGCGGCCATTATGGGATTTCGGTGGGTATGCATCACATGAATGGTGGTAGCCTGCTGTTATCCAACCTTGCAGTCTCTGTGGAGGCCAGTCGACGGATCCTCCGTCATCTAGAATTCGCTGTATCCTTCCAATCGTCTGATGCCTCATGGTGAGCCTCCCCTCCCTCTCTCCCTCCCTTTCCGTCTTCTCCACGCGCTTGCGGTCTTCGTCTCGGTCTTCCATTTCTAATACCAGCAGGATCGCTACCTTCTCCGTGCCCTTGGCCTCCATCGTTGTCTTCTGGAGTATCCTGCAGGATCCATCGAATGCCTCCGCTCCAGACGATGTCCAGCTACTCTTATCGGCCAGCGGTTACCTTGCGACGTGTCACCGGACTCTTAGACTGCCGGCACCTATCCTCCAACATTTCACCTCCATGTCCCATTATATTGGGGAATTCTACCGACTGGGTTTCGCGGCTACCTCGTCCTCGGTTCTGGTCCCGAATATTCACCTGCGGGCGCACTGATAGTCACGTTCGGGTTGGTCAAGTCGCGGGGGGGTGGGGGTTGGGGGGCAATACAATACATATTTCGGGGTTGTAGTAAGCGGATTAATGTACACCACACGGTCGAGATTGTTCGAATCGTAAGTCTTGCACGTTTGCACCAGAGATCGACAGGACCTGACGCCATCAATCTTATTGTGTACCCCAGCTCCCTCTAAGCTAGATCCATTCTTAGGCTCAGAACAGAAGGGTTCGACGAAGGAGAACCCACTCTGCCTGCACCTGCAAACCCGGATTCCCAAATGCCGCATCCGATGAAAAACTGGGACCTCACCTACAATGTATCTTCCAACCACGTAATTGAGTCTAACATAATTATCAAGCGGGAAACTCGGGGGAAATCGCACGGATTCAAGGTTCCCTTATCCGCGACCCAGTTCATTCTACCTCGTTGCATCCATTCGAGGCTTTGCATGTTAATCAAGTGGGGTACGCGGATGCGGTTCGGCTTTGCTCTCGGCTGTCTCCTTCCGCTTAGTCATGGAACAGTCGTTCGGTTTGTTTTACAATCTCAGTAAATGTCGTCGATCAGTGCTGCGTAAAACTATGCATGTAAAAAGATTGTTTGTCAACGGTAACCATCACTTCCGAGCCGAGCCCAAATGTCCTGCTCTCCCCTCTTGCATGACGTATTACTGACGTATAAACATCTTTAGAGACAGTACTTGCTGAGTAAGCATCGTTGGTCAAACGGTTACGATTCTTGTCTTCCAAACAAGCGGCCCGGGTTCGACTCCCGGACGATGCAATGTTTTTTGCCCTCGGCTTGTGCAGATCGTCCAACTGTCAGTGCATACCTCAAGCGGAGGGAACAAACGGACTTAACCCTTTTTTTTTTGCTTCGAGCTAACACCCCGTATATAACAGCATTGAGATGGTTTGTCGCCGTCGAATGCGCTCGTCCGACCTGGTATGGAGCTACGAACCCCGTGCTGTGACCGGCCCGCGAGGCCGAAAGATACCAGTATATATAATGCGAATAAGGCCATGTGGCGCACACCAAGATCCCGTATCCCTCGGTCCAAACAACATATCGATATATGACACCCATAATGAGAAGCTTATATACCAATAAGTTACCTAATGTGCTGCTGCATCATTGGAACCACGCAGGATCCCCAGCATCCATCCCCACCAGCGTGGAAGTCAACCTCATCTTGCACTACCAAAATGCAAGGTCGGAGGAGATCCCAGACGAGTTACTGAATCTTATATGAACATGACAAATGTGACGTAATCGCTATCACTATTCGCATCCCGCTTTTCGCCATTAACAAGGTGGACCGTTGTCACAATGCGATAGCCATCTAAACTGCTTCGAACATACAGGCTCAATCGCGCGGCATCATTTCCACAGGTCGTACAACTTGCACCGATGTCAGCCCACAAGTCACACCTACAGCGAATGAATTTACAGGGATACAGAATGAGCATCTAATGCTGCTAGAATCTAACCGGCGCCTGCGCTCTCCTCGCGCCCAGTTCATGTATGTCAAAGCCAGCAAAAGCCAGCACCTGGCATTGTCCTCACAGGCGCTCTGTGAAGCCATTGAGCTACTAAGCAAGAGATCAGTATAATGCCCGCAGCCTCTACTTCGCCTCGGCTCAGTAACAGCAAACCGTGTCCACCGGCAGCATCGAGGCTCCCGGTCTGTTGCCTCCGCATCGAGAAGATAAACACACAGGAGGTTGACTTGAGCTGGCCATCGGCCCAAGGGGTTTTCAGTTCACCTTCATCGGCGTAAGCCGACTTCCAAGATGTAGCCACCCCATTGGCAAAAATGATATCGACACTTGGATGATGAGCATCGTGCCACCAAACGATGTGAATGTGCGTGGTAACCACCAGCTAAGACGAAGGCATATATGACAAGCCGAACCATCCTTCCCTAGGAGCTGTCGCGGCAAAAAACCAAGATAACTGCATCGTCCGGGAGTCGAACCCGGGCCGCTTGTTTGGAAGACAAGAATCGTAACCGTTTGACCAACGATGCAACATGAAGTATAGGATGGTCTGAGATGTTTTATGAAGCCAGTAATTAAGATGATGCTATCCAAGCCCACAGGCACCCGCAATCAGCACATTGGGAAAGCACTGGGCAAGGACTCCGTGTTCGTACTATCGCATTCTTTTTGGGGTGGGGGGCGGTTTGTTCTCCATCGTATTCCTCCATTTGCCCATATAACGTGTGAGAATTTGTGTCCCGGGCAATAACGGCCATGCAATAACGGCCATTACCGTCCAATCCATCACCAGCCACAACACGAGACACACAGGGCAGAGAAGTCCAACCCTGGCAAATCCCGTTTCCAGCATAGCAGACGATTACGGCGAAGAATGGATTCTCACCAGACACTGCAGGCAAAACGAGCATGATTGCGGCTTCAAATCTTAGTCCCTTGCGTTGTACAGTACACATTGCACCACCCATGACAACGTCCCACCCTACAGCTACGATGGTCGGAAGCCTAGAGATGAGGCTACTTCGCGCTTTATGCTTCCGCGACTGTTGTTGATTTTGGCAGGGCGCCTGCAATATGCATAGTACGACACTATCAAGAGTTGTATCGAATATACCAAGGACTTCAAGACTGAGACCGTCAGGGGTTGAGAAGATGTGGATTTATGCTGATATAGAGACCGTCATGATATCACACTACTAAAATTAACAGAACCATGTTGACACAAACAGCGGCGATTCCAGCTTATAACTGGTTTAGTCTCACGGATGTAAAGCATGATGCACTGATAACGAGTTGGCCGGATGGTGTAGTTGGTTATCACGTATCGTTAACACCGATAAGGTCCTGGGATCGAGCCCCAGTCTGGTCATTCCTTTTTTACAATTCTATCCACCCTTGCCCAGTAAACTACTTACTGGCACTGTTGACTTTTTTTACCATGGATTTGAAAGGAAATCTCGGCATATACTGAAGATCGGTGTTGGTAGAGGAAAGCCGCGCACTTTGTCCCGCGCCGATAGTACACGAGTAGAGGGCTTCTTAGTTACCCACAATGGTCACTCGCCGTCCACGCCCTACAACCACTGTTCGCATCAGTGAACTGGAGAGTTCTCTTCTTCGCACTTAGCCGCTTCAGTATTGTAACCTGTTCTTGACCTCGCATGACCGCCCCTATTCTACGACCATTGTTGGCGCAAGCTCGAAAGGACGTGGATCCCATCTCGTCGCTGTGGTCTGACATAATTCGCATACTGTGATACCAACATCAATGGGCATCACATACAGTGCATTGACCTTCCCCCCTCTATAAACTACTCAGCACGGCATCGTCTGATTCCTCCCCAATGGCTTCTACCAGCACATCTGCCAGTCGTATCGGCATGGACAAAAAAGGCGAGTGTGATGCCGGAAGCCGGTATGTGTTTTCCGGACCCGCGACCTTTGCGGCAAATCCCTCTTGGAAGGCCGGCGGCATGGCCTGGTCTTGCTCGCAGATCACGTATGCACAGGGGATCTCGCTACTCCAAGGTTCATGCGTTACCTTGCCTGCAAAGACGGCGCGGGAGGTGTGGTGTGTGAAGGTATTCCATTGAACCTGCTCGTCGAGCGGGAGGTCTTGCCAGCCGATGTGGCTGGAGCTATCGATGTGGACATAGTCGCCCTGGAATTGCAGAATCAGCTTTTGAGGAACTTCACACGCTCTATGCGCAGCTTTACTCGTGTGAGATTGACTCGCACCGTCGGCTGCTGGAGACAGCCTACGTTAGGGTGATGGTGCGACATACTTCCACCTGCATCCAGGGCAAAAAGCTCCCACCCAGCATCTCGAGTAGGCTTTGCCCGCGATCGAGTGCAAAGGCAGCGAGATAGACCACTTGAACGACTCCGCCGGCCTGGCCGCGTTGCGCACGTGTAGTCTTGCTCAAGCCATCCACTGCGTTGGATGCTACCACACCGCCGTAGGAGTGGGCGACAACGACAATGTCGTTCTCGGCGTCGGCGAGATTCGTCAAAAGTCTTCGGAGAGAGGCAACATCGTCCGATAGGGTCTTGGAGGGAGGCTCAGCTCCAATTGAAGGGTGGGCTGGACATTTGGATGCAAAGCCGAGATCCTGGAGCTGAGCTCGAAGGGCATGGAAGAAGGGAGGGGTGATCCAAGCCCCAAGGGAGAAGACGATGACCGGGGAGTTCATCCTGGGAGTGTAAGAAAAAGGAACTCTGGAAAAAGAAGCAGACGATCAATACATCGCAGGCGGAAAATGCCCCGGGTGGGGGTGCTGGTCTATTATAACCCGGATCCCCCTCCCCCGGGCAGGGGCGGACAACGGCACGTTGCGAGCCAATGCGAGGAGGAGCTTTATTATGATGGTCCCATCTTATGACTCGCGTTACGCACAGCGCACGGCCTGGTTGGTTGCTTATTGCCGGGATGTTGAACCGATAAATTTGACAGGTGGGGTTCGAGCCTAACACCCCGCAATGATTGGCCTGATAATCTTCCTAACTTGTCTATCTACTAGCTTCCCTTTCGACTACATCTTAGGGCATTGACTACCTACTTTAGGTACCTACTAGCTAGCTAGGTACTTACTATCCTTCCCGTGTCAAGGCTACAGTCCCCAATTTTCTCTGTCTGCTCACTCCCTTTTTTTCTGATCCCTGTCTGCGCGCTGGCATAAATCGAGTGTGTTCCTCCAGGCTCCAATGGCACCCACACACCGTTGTCATGGCTCTTGTCGACTCGCGTCAGTCGACACAGGCCCATCAAACGGTGACAACTATCATAGTTACAGTTCTGGCCACTTTTTTTGTCTTCCTCCGACTGCTAGCTCGGGGTAGGAAGCGTGTACGTCTAGGCCCCGATGATTACACACTCATTGTTGGATTGGTATCTGCTATCTCTTTCCGAATTCACGCGGTTATTGGCTAATGTGCATTAGGCCTTTGTGATAGTGATTGCAGCTGTCAAACCTCGCCTGTCTGGGCCAATTCCCACAACTGTAATGAGCCGAACCATACTGACGGTGCCTGCCTAGGTATTCACTATGGGATGGGCCGCCACATGTCCCGCATTCCACCATCGGATCTAGTCATTTTCTCCCAGGTATGGTGATTGTATTGTCGTGTCACCTAGTTCGCGTGATTGTTGATTGAAGAGTCCTGTACAACACAGCTCCTATACGCATTCGAGCCTCTCTACATCACCACGGTCGGCATCATCAAATTCTCCGTTCTTCTGATGTATCATCGTATCTTTCCAGTCCGCCTTATCCGCGTCAGGGGCATCATCCTCGCTACCATCACTGTCGCCTGGGTCATATCCGTCGACCTTGTCGCCATCTTTCAGTGCTTGCCCCTGGAGAAAGCGTACAATACAACCCTGCCTGGTCACTGCATAGACCTCAAAGCCGCGCTGATTGGCAACGGGGTTCCGAACTTCGTCACGGACATCTGCATCCTTGCCCTACCAGGTCAGCTCATTTGGAAAATCCAAGCAGGTTTCAGCCAGAGGATCTCAATCTTGCTTGTCTTCCTGAGCGGGACTTTGTGTGTGACACGAAACTCATCTCTCCCCGCTGTCGACGATTTGTGGAACGCTAATACGATAACCATTTCTGTTAGTGTCGTGTTCGCCAGCATTTACCGATTTAGTCTTATCTTTTCCTTCGAGATTAATGATATCGCTTGGACCCTCGCCGACGCGGAAACGTGGTGTGTTGTGGAGACTGCAGCGGGCGTGATCTCTGCTTGTCTACCAACTGTGATCCCTATGATCATGCATACTTGCTGTAGCCTGGTACACTCTCTTTCTCGGACCGCGTCCTCGGGTGGAGGGGTAGAGGCTATGCTATCCTGTGAGCCAGGAAGAAGTACGTATGTGGGAGAGGCTCGTGTGGATCAGTATCACTCCTTCAATGGGCAGCAGAGGTTTGCCCTGGAGCGATTCGAGAACTTGCAGAAGGATAGTACCTCGCAGCTTAGCATTGAACGATGGGAGACTATCCCTGCGAGTCGAGGAACTGGAGCATTATCATGACTCGTCAACATTGCATTGAACAACTAATGATCTGCTCTTAATATTGCAGAATCCCTGGATCAAACGCTTCTCCAGCGAGAGCCATTGAACTGTACTTATTCAAGTGTTATATGCCCCCGCCGCCGTTCCATCCTTCGATTCCAGCTCCTCAACCCTGCGCTTGAGATCCGCGTTGAATCTCCTATACTGTCCAACCAACTTCCTGCCCAACAACGAGGGTCCCATCAGAAATGCAAGTGCACCAGTAAACTCTTCCGTTTGCTTGAGTATCGTCGCCGACCCGTCCTTTGTGGAAAGTATATAGAAGCTATGCAGCCCAGCGACCAAGCCAGCAACCGGCGGACCCTGCCACTGGAAGAGGTTCTCGGAATTCTCCTTTCGACGCGGTCAGCGCTGACTCCGTCCCGCAAGACTGTCGGAATGTTCTTCTTGAATGCTTGGATTCGCAACATACAGTGATCTTGGCGTCAAACTTCATGCCATCTATGCCACAACATATGACATCGCCCGGTATTAAAGTCGCCAGCGTCTTGGTGCTATTCTTCGCTTTGAGAAGGTGAAAGGTAGAGACGTGCCACTCAGGGTATTTTGAAAAGTCCAAGAGCTATTGGGAAATCGAGTCAGCGCGGTGTTATGGGGGTTGCGAGAGCATGGAAGATGACAGTTACCACTTCGCGCACTTTGGAGGGCGGAGCAGCAATCTCGACCTGAGTTTCAATCATCGTGACTGATAGGTGTGTGATCAAGCTGGGATACCTCGCTCCGTAGATAAAGGCGCAAGCTGGGGGTTAAGGCCGAATTATCGAACCCAACCCGATCAGCAAATTCGAAGGCCTTTTATACATGTAAGGTCATGCAGCGCCAAGGCTCGGCCTTCCTGCTGGAAGGATGCGTCGGGTCGAAGGGGCCGTAGCTTAGCCCCACTTGTCCACCCGAGCAAGCCAAACAACTGCACCAAATTTATCCGTCAACTTGGGTACTGCACAGTACGTAGTCTACTCTTACTTCGAGACTGAAGCCTGCGAGCACTGCATGCCCCACCTCCACGTTCTTTGGTGCCTGAGGCATGAAGCAATCGCATACATTCCTGGTCGCCGCGCAAACGAAAGGTCTGGCGACCGACCACTTCTCATTTCTACTCATCTATAGGACCCGTGCTAAGTAGTCGACAAAAGTTCGACTGCTTTTGTCCCTTTAACATGACCCGGAATCGCCAGAGTGGCGATGGCAACAAGGATCGCATAGTGTGAGGGATCAAAACTGTAGATGAAACGACTGACGAGTAACTCAGAACTCCATTGATAGTGGGAGGCAGACCACTGCAAAGATACAAAAGGCCAGTAGAACTTCTACTCTGTACTCTATCTATACATAGTCATATCGATATATCGAAGTGTCAGGATGTCAAGGTCTACTACTTTAGGGCTAGGGCTTCAGATGACTAGCCCTAAGTTCACATCTAACAGGAGCTATGCACCATGGAACTTATAACTATGGCCTCTTTTCCCCAAAATTTCTCAATACGCGCCTACTGTTGTTACAGAACCTTGTCGAGAACTTTGTCCATTAACCCCGGGATATCAACTCATTCTACCTTCTGTCGTCCCAAAATCTCAATATCTTTTACTCCTTGGAAGAGAGTCGGGGGGGGGGGGGGGGAAGAGGAGTATCCAGGAAAATGTGTTCCAGAGTGAACAGCTCCTATGAACTTTGAGCTTTTAGGGCTAGCTGGAGCCTTGGCCCACAGGTAGCCCTCAACATCCTGACATGTTCTTATATCGAAGGTAGTCAAGAATAAACATATTTTAAATCCTTGGTGATTGTTTTTTACTGTAATACAATTAACTTTATGGGAGCACAATGGTAGTACTAATAAGGCTAGCTAAGCGATTTTTACTATGCTATGTGACTACCGTCTAAGTATAGGCTACCTATGCCGACACTGTGAGTAGAATATAGCTTCCCTGGCTGTCGGGCTCCTTAGCCCGTCAGGCATTCACACATGGGTGCCTTAGGCACCCATGTAGTATTCAAGTAATTAGTTCAGAGCGAAGGCCCTTCAGGCCATCCTCTTCTCTTTTTTCCTCAAGAATGGAATTCTTGCCTGGCTTAGTTCATCTACATGCGTAGTATCACACTGGCTGATTGAGTAATGGAAGAATGGTGGGGTGCTGTCTGGTGTAGCTGGTGCTGTTGTTACAGATTTTCACGTGCCGCCGTGAGGTTAATCGGTAATCAAAGAAAAAACAGAGCTTCTCATTAAGGTATAAGGATGCCTTACAGCTCCGTTTACGGGGTTCGATTGATCAATATAGAGCAGACCAGCCGATGATTTTAAAAAAAGCCTTTGTGACCGGGGGGCCTATGTGAAAGCTTGTAGAGCAATAGATACGAAAGCCAAAAAGGAGGAATCATATGGGTCTATTCATTCGCAGGGAGCAGACAGTATGGCGTAATTTGATTATTGTTCGGGAACAAAAATCATATCGAATTCTTCGAAAACCATACCCGCGCAGCGGTCGTAGCACAAGGGGGGCCGTGGGTAAAAAGTGAAATTTAATGCATCATCCGTGAATCGAACACGGGCCTCATCGATGGCAACGATGAATTCTACCACTAGACCAATGATGCTGATTGATATGGTAGCTTTCTAGTCTGTACTCTACAACCATACTTTTATCTCTGCGCTCATCACCGGATGGTATGGGAGTACAGTAACTGTACTTAAACTCATCCGACAGCTTGTGCCCGATTTATGCCTTCAGCATAAGACTTATATGGGGAATAGCTACCAATTACTCAGCAATGCGCACAAAACCAATTTCTCTCGAAAGGCACGTGCGGACTCCTTCTTACTCACACGCCCCCAGTGTACAGCACATATACAAGATTCCAGCAAGAGCTTCCATTATAAAATCACTGAGTTCCTTCCATCACCTTACGATCACGATCATACCACCGCCATCAACCAAGTACATTACAATCTCCCGCAGCATTCCGAGCGGCTTGGCAACCCCCCTCATAAGATTCTTTTCACTTGACAGCTACCCGTCAGATTCCTCCCCAAGGAAAGGGAAATACATCGTCTCCGAGCTCTCCGCCACCGCATCTAAGAAGGCCGGGATCAACGGCTCCATTCCCAACTCCAGCGCCTTCGCCGACCATTCTGTCAGCCCCAGCTCCGCGAACGGGCGACCGTGGACTTTCTCCATGTATCCCTTGAAGCTCTTGACTGGGATTCTGACATTCCCCGTGTGATGGCGGAAATGAACAGACGATGACGAGGAGGATGAAGAAGGCGATGTGCTGTCCGATACCGATGACGTCACCTCCGAGGCAATTCTCTCGGCGATGATCTCGACTTTCTGGAAGTCGAGGAACCCGCCCATGTTGGTGAGTCGGGGAGTGGCGCTGAGGCGGTCCGAGAAATGAAGCAAGGAGTTGAGGGCGTCCTGGTCTGGTGCGTTATCACCGATCGGGGTGCATGGCCGGTGGATGTAGACGGACAATCCGGTTCGGTCGGCGAGGTGCTCCAGGAAAGCCTCGCTCGCCCATTTCGTAGCCGTAAATCCCTCAGAGCCGCTGGCGAGCGGCGGGTAGGACGCGACGGAGATAGGGCCCAGAGATGTCTGGCCTGATTGAAGGATGACACGCGGGGAGGAGACGTAGTGCAGGGGGATTCGGGCTCGACACGCAAACCCCGCGAGGAAGTGCGTGGACCTCAGGTTAGGCGTTCGGAGGGAGCGATAAGTGTTGAGACAGTGTCCATGCGCCCCCGCGTGGATGATTACATCGACACACGATTGCAGGGTGTCCGACTCGGCGGTGGACAGTCCCAGGGTGGGATCGAGGAGGCTGCCATAGTAGACCCCGACACTACTACTTGACGGGAGCACGTCATCCTGACCCTTCTCCACGGCAAGGCAGTGAATCTTGTTGACTTCGGACTTCTGAAGCAGGGCTCGTAGGATTGTCCTCCCGAGAAATCCAGTCGCCCCTGTCAGAATGATCTCAATGCCTGCTGATTCTCTGGAGCGGCGCGGCTCCGAGCGCGAGCTTGTCTCTTGGAGTATCGCTTCCGGGACAGCTGTCTCCTCGTACCAGTTGATCGTTGCCATTGGGGTTTCAGCCTTCCGTGAGGCAACCTTAAGCGCCATGCTGGATAGAGTACTTGCAGCGTACAGCTCGCGAAGTGTGATATGCACCCCGATGGAAGTGCGAATCGCACCTTGGAGCTTGATCAGGAGTAGAGAATTCCCCCCGAGCATGAAAAAGTCCGACTCGGGCTGGATCTGAGGCTTGTCGGGTAAGATTCCCCTCCAAAGGAGCTTGAGCTCGCCCTCACCCAAGGTCAAACGCCTGTTCTCCTGCGATGGTCCATTTGCGCTCGAAGCCGGCAAAGCCTCGATTGCCTTTCGGTCGACCTTGCCATTCGCGGTCCGTGGTAAATTGTCCAGGCGCACCACCAGCGCAGGACACATGTACTGTGGCAGGGGAAGACTGGTCGCAAGCCGTTGAAGGTCGGAGTCGGTACTCGTGCGGCCGGGGGCAATCGCAACATAAGCCACGAGGTATTTGGAATCACCATCACCCTTGACGCAAACAACAGCAGCCGAGATCATGCCCGAAGAGCAATTCACCAATGTAGCTCCCACGTCGTCCAGGTCAATTCGAAGACCACGGAGTTTGATCTCCGTGTTTCCGTCCATACGACCGAGAAGGATAAGTGAGCCATCTTGAAGCATGCGGCCTTTGTCGCCAGTATGGTACATCCGAGTCCACCCCCGAGCAATATCCTCTTCACTCGCAAACCGGTCCTCGACGAATTTCAACCGCGTTTGTTCTTCGTCCAAGTACCCAAGGGCTATTCCAGCTCCACCGATACATATCTCGCCAGGCACACCAATTCCCACTAGATTATCGTCATCACCCAGGATATATATGGAAGTGTTGGGGATGGGCTTCCCGACGCTGCGCGCTTCCTTGAGCTGAGACACGTTCATGGTCTCGAAAGTCGTGCAAGCAGAGATTTCTGTTACGCCGTAGGAATCCTGAACAACAGGACATCTGTGGCCCAGTTGCACAAACTCTCGCTTCAGTTGGTCTGTAAATGGTTCACCACCGAGGCAGGCGTGGCGCCATGAGGTGTAGTCCTCTAGATACTTACATCCGTGCTGGAGAATAACCATGTACTCGGACGGCGTGGCAAGCGTGAATGTCACCTTCTCCCGCCGGATTAACTTGGCAACCTCGATAGGGTCTCCTCGCGCCGCCTGTGGGACGATGACGAGCTTCCCTCCATTCATGATTGCGTTAAGTGTCTGAGCAAGCCCCATGTCAAATCCCAAGGAGCTCTGCTGCAAGACGGTGACATTATAGTCCAAGTGAAGTTCCTCGGCCTTTGCGGCGAGGTAATTGATGAAGCCAACTTGCGAGAGCAAGACCCCTTTCGGTTTGCCTGTGGAGCCGCTGGTATACAGTAGGACTGATGGAGACGTACCATCACGGTTGAAATCTGTCGTCGGGTCCGAGTGCTCCTGCGCCGCAGACACATTGATGATAGTCGCCACACCAAGAGTGGAGGCTGAATTAAGCGTCGTAGCCGAGCAGAGTATCACATCTGTGCCCGAGGCTTCTATAATGGCACTATGTCTCGACATTGGGCTACTGAGATCGAGAGGTACATAGACAGCGCCGGTGAGAAGAATCGCTAGCAGGCTCGCCACCGAATCCAGGGATGGCTGGCAGAGAACCGCGACCTTTGTTCCGGGGGTGATTCTTCTTTCAGTGAGAGCATTCGCTATGAAGCCCATACGCGTGTCCAAGCAAGAGTATGTGTATCTTTCTTTTTCCTCAATGACGGCGGTCCTGTCGGCGCAGCTTTGTAAAATTGTGCGGAACCGTGCCGACAACGTCTCCGGCCATCGATGACGGATCCGCGTGCCCCGGCGGACGGACAAATGGGTTTCATCACTATTGCTCGAGAACAGGGCGCATTGCTGTACTGACAGGGAAGAGTTGGATGCAAATTCAGCTAGCAGGTTAATATACATGTCCAGGACCAGCCCTGCAGCCTCGGGACTGTAGAGGTAATCTCGACAGGTGACATCTAAGATGCAGGTTCCGAGCGCCGTAGGAGTGATGTGAAAGGACATGTCATACGGTGCGTTCCCCATGACGCTACGTTCGTAGGTCAATTTGAAATCCTCCACAGACATCTCAGTAATCTCCCCTACTCTATAGTTGATGGCCACCTGAAACAGTGGCGTGTGCGTTGAGGTTCGCGGAATGTCGAGGTGGTCAACGACGAGATTCGAGGGCATTGACGAGTGCGACAGCGCCGAGAGAACATCGCGTGACGTTCGCTGGAACACACTAGCAAAGCTATCATCCTGCACAATCCGGAACTGCAGAGGCAACAGATTGACAAAGTAGCCAACCGTGTTGAGGTACTGCTCATGTTTTCGATTCGCATCGCTCATGCCGATGCACATGCTCTCAATATTCAGCAGCTTTGCAAAAAGAATTTGGAGCGTCGCCAAGTAGTAATGAAACGCCGTGCCCCGAAGTCTTTGACTCGAGTTTCGAACACTTTCTGCAAGCTCTCGCCCGATTGTACGCGTAGTCGTATGCGCCTTGTAGTTGTCCGTGGCTGTTCTGTATTTCACCTTGGCAAGCCCAAGTAGAGGCATCACATCCGGCAAAGGTGAGAGTCGCCGCTTCCAGTACTCTATGTCCTTCGAGAATGCACCGCTCTGAATAGCCTGATTCTGCATTACAGAGTAGTCGATGTACTTTGTGGCATTGAAGGTTGGCGGCCTCATCTCGTAAAAGGCTTTAACTTCTCTGAGAAAGGTGGACCAGCTGACCCCAGCCATGATAATGTGATGATAGCTGAATATCACAGTGTGGCGCCCGGGTTTGACTGACACCACGGTGACTCGGAAGGTCTCTCCTTCCTCCAACGACCAGTTGTGAAGCGCCGCCTTCTTGAATTCTTCGGAAATGATTTCCGGATCCGAGGTCTTCACATGATGAAAGAAGGGCCTCGCTCTTCCTAGAATCCCTTGCACGAGCTCGCCACTTACATGGTCCTTAAAGAATGACGTGCGTAGGGATTCGTGCCTTGAAACCGTTTGCTCTAACGCTCGTTTGAATCTTTCAAGTTGAAAGGAGCCATCAACTTTGTAGGATATCACAACATTGTATTGCGTCGGGTCTTTCATGTAATGTCCTGCAAACCAGATCAGGGACTGGTATGGAGACATGAGCTCGACGCGTGTAAAGTCTCGAGTGAGAACAAGGTCAGGCTCTGCCTTTGATGTAGAACATGCGGCGGTCGAGCTTTCTGAAGTCGCCGAGCTGACGCGGTCTCGACTGCTAAGGCATTGGTCGGAGCTCGTCATGATACTTATGGCAGTCTGCATAGACTGATCGTTCTCATGGTCTCGCAACTTCTGCCCTAGGGATAGTGCAACAACATCTGTACAGACCCCAACCGCGGTATTGTACAACACATCAATAGCTGGTATTTCGACTCCGATTTCTTTCTTAAGCCAGCTGCCAATCTCAACCGCTACCAAGGAGTCACAGCCAAGATCGAGGAGTGGGACATCTGTACGCATGCTTTCCGCGTCGAGTTGGAGCACGGACTGTAATCGCCTGGATAAGAAACTCAGCATCAAGTCACGGGCTTCTGCACCGCATCTTGACTCTGAGAGTCTTTCTTTGATGGTGACATTCGTGGCAACTGGTTCTTTTTGCTTTTCATGGATCATCTCACTCGAGGTAAAATGGGAGAAAACTGGATTCGAACACCATGGCGGAATGTCCTGGTCGTCGCGTCGTCGCGTGACTGATGAGAAACCGATAATAATCTCTGCGCCATCTTTCGACTTCGCGTCGGAAGCGGTCACGGCCTCCGCAAAGGCATGGTGGATATCTCTCTCCGACAACGCCAGATAACCCTGGCAGATCAGGTGATCGAGCTCGCGTCTGGTTTGACCAGCACAGATTCCCACATCAACAACCATTCCCATCTGAATGATTGATGCTGCTAAGCCCTTGGCCCGACGTTTCTGCACTAGGTCACACATAAAATGTGTGGCCGCGTTCTGATAAGGCTGCTCAGGGATGCCCTTTACACCCCCTAACGATGAAAACAGAACGAAGAACTCCAGGGTAGGCTTAGAGAAGAGCTGATCAAGGTAGCATGATCCTTTGATCTTCATATCAAAAGCAATGTTGAGGTCATCAACGGCCTCATCCTCGAATACCTCAGCAGAGAGACTCATTGCTCCGTAAGCCACTCCACCAATTGGCGGCATGGTGGCGCTAATTCTGTCGTAGACCAGCGACAAAGACTCTTTCTGAGACACATTCATCGTCATCGATTTGACGCATATCCCAAACTTGGAGATGTTTTCGACCCATTCCCGATCTACTTGGCCGGTCCTGCTTGTGATGACAAAAGTTCTGGCGCCGTGTCGTACCATCCAGGAGATCAAGGACAGCCCAAGCGGGGCTATCATCTCAACCATGAGGTAACTTTTCTTCGGAGAGAAGATGTCAGGAGAACAGGGACCTTCGGCCGGAATTGAGACCTTGGTCGATTTAGTCCAGTCAATAATTGTTGGATGGGTGTAGGCAGATTCCGGCATATTGATAACCTCATTCAACGCGTAGGTGCGCTGAGCAAACGAAGACAGGTTCAGGGGATGTGCTTTCGCATCCGCATAAGCTCGAGTGAGTAGCTCCCTGCACTCAGCAGACTTCGCGCCCACGATGCACATTGAATCTAGCGAGATATTGCTATAAAGGCTATGAACATTTGACCTAAGCGTGCCACTCCAGCCTGTGGCCAGATCAACGAGGTATGATATACCTGTCGGCAGGGCTTGCTGAATCATCCGGCGGGTTGCTTGAGGGTGTAATCCGATCCATCTGCTCCCCACTTGATCTCGCCTGGTGGACGTCACAAAGTAGACCTCTCGTCTGCGCCAGCGCGGACTTGCTTGAAGAGCAGCGGCCAAGATTACGTTGGGCTCGTAGATTAAAACGGAGCCTGGATGCTGAACCGCTGATGATATGAGATCAGCAATGAGGAAGCTGGATATAGCCTGTAGAGCCGCGGGCGTAATCTCATCTTTCTTATCCAGAACGTAAATCTCGTCTGGGCGGACCCGAATGACTGACGAGTTGTGCTCTCCGATGCCCATCACTGTTGTACTTTTGTCCTGAGTGGCACCCAGCCACATGAACCGTCTTTTGGAGCCTTGTGAAAATAGTGGAATTGAATATTGCGTCTTGATAGTAATCGTCTCGGCGCCTCGCGAGGGAAGTTTAAGGAGACGCTGTATGCGCACTGTTCCCGTTTCGCTGGAAGTAAGACGCAGCTCGACTGGAACCTGATCAGGGTAAACTTCCTCGGTGAGTCTTAGAAGCTGCGTTCTGTGTCCTTTGTCTCTTTTCCCGTCCCGGACCAAGCGTGGGATAAAATAACTGCGACCGTCGAAGCGAATCTCTGGCTCATGTGTCCATAGCATCTTCTTTCCAGCAATCTGTGGAAGGCGCGACCACAAGAGGCGCAGGAAGGCCTCTAGAACCACATTTGAGCTGATTGCACCTGGCTCTGTCACAGCCAAGAACTGCAGTCGAGCATCTAGATGCTGAGACATTACCACTGTCCCTAATCCAAGAGTGATACTGTGAAAAGAGTGACCACTGTAAGGCGCGGATGACAACCAAAGTACGGATTTCGAACGCTCGAACAATCGGTGTACGGACAACAGTTTCCGAGGCGTAACCTCACTGAGAGGTAACGTCTTCTCGATTTCAATCGCAGATATGACCGGTAGTCCATCTTCTATAGTGACTGGATCGAAATCATCGATGTCTTCCATAAGACTAACAGCCACACCACACTGCGCGAAGTCTCGCGTCAAGCCCTGAATCAAGCGTGATTCTACCCAAGTCTTACCTCCTACGAGCATTACTTTCTGCGGCAGAGGCAAACGATCCACAAACCTAATTGGCTCACGAAGCATGTCCATAGTAGTGTTCACAGCTTGTGAGACCACCACGGAAAGATAGCTTGCTGTGCCGTCAGGCATATCTTGAGTCACAGTATCAATGCCCGAGAATTCTGCAGCGCGCAAGTGCCTGTCAATCTCCATTGGCGAAACGCCTTTCCAGCTTAGCTGTCTCGGCTCATTGCCATGCCACCACTCGGGAAACATGCCCATACAAATGAGCAGGGACATCACCATCTGACCTGTTATCTCCATGAGAACAATGTAACCCCCGGGCTTCAACAGTCGCCGAATTTCCTTCAATGATGGCTCAATGTCCGGAGTTGCAAAGTGCAAAAGAGTTGTGATCACCAGGTCATAGTTCGCATGACCAAAGCCTTGCTGAGTAAGGTCCCCTCTGAGATCTGCAACCTTGAATGAGATCTTGTCCGTGCAATCATTGCATGCACTTCTTGCTGCATCAACAAGCTCTTGAGAAATGCACGTATAGCAATATGAAGCACATGCATCACCCACAGTCTTCGAGGCCATACTCATAGGACGACTCCCTGCGCCAAACTCAAGTATATGCATATGAGGGTGCTTGTGCACGATGCGCTTGACGGTATCACAGAGCTGTTTGTGCGTCGAGCTAAAAGCCAGACCCTCCAAGAACAACCGGTTGAGGTGGCTATGCCCCAGGCTCGGAGCCTTGTGCCCTCGCAGAAACGATGCTAAATGTGAGCCGACGCATTGTAGCATATTGACCTCCGCCCTCCCCGAGAACCTCTCTGTGAGGCTCTTGACAATAGTGTCAGAATCTCCAAGCCATTCAATCTGCAGCAAAGTGCTTTGGGGATCTTTCTTGACTGCTCGAACTGCTTGATCAAGCTCATTGTACAGATGACGGTGGTGGGCTTTGAATGTTGCGACTTCACGTGGGTCAATCTCAGACAATGATTTTTGCGCGTAGAACAGAGCTATTCTTTCTGTAGAAATAGCTAGAATCTCCTCTTCATCCTTGGGTTGGTGCTCATCAATCAACCCAAAGCATGTGAATGGATCACGTTCCCAGACAATCCGAGAGAAAAGACTATTTTGACATAAAGATCTATGCTCACTCGTAGACCTCAAGAGCACGCCGTCTGCCTGAGCAATCGAGTTTCCTTGGCAGTCGAAGATTGAAAAGTCACCCTCAATCTTACAAGGGTCAGATGATATGATAAATCCATCGATGTCCAGGTCAGCGGCATCGCATAGGACTCGATGCACCAGATCCTGATTTACGGCGAGGCGATTGATTCTGGAAGGCAAATAGAATGAACAGTTTGTTCGCACCAAGGGCGAATTGAATGCTGTAATTAGGGTTTGAAATGCAGTTTCAAAGGCAGCGACGAGTAGTGATGATGGTGAGGTTGTGTCTTTTGGCCAACAAGCGCATACGCTAGCATGATTGAGCGTCCGACGCAACGTCTTGATTGCCCGAAATGGGCCTTCACAGACAAGACCACGATGCTCCAAAAGCTCGTACAGGACATCTGGGTCCACTTGCGTCAGACAAGGTTGCCTCGGGGATCGTTCAGGCAACTCATCCGTGTGAGCCCTGCCCAAATGAAGAATTACACGGGCTGTGCAAAGACTTTGGAGTTTTGCATCGCAGTCAGTGGAGGCATCGCAAGCAAAGTCAAGATCGATAACGGACTCCGAATAAGACTTGGACACTCCACTCGAGACCCGTATTTTGCTTACGCATTCAATTTCCGAGTCATGTCTTTCCAGCTTCAAGGGCATAGTGAGCTCCAAGTCCCGTATCTCGACAAGCGAAACAGGACTATGGTTGACGAAAGACGTTGCTGCCTCCAGGGCACGAGATATAAAAAGTCCAGCGCAGAGCAGTGGTTCCCCGTGGTATTTATAATCCTGCAGCCACTGTATCTCTTCCAAACGCAAAATCTTTCTCCATTGAGTCTCCCGAGACAGGCAATCATATATTCGTTGACCCAGCGACTGCTGTGAGTCTGGCCCCTGAAGACGATAATTGCGCGACATGCGAGATTCTCTCCAGTGTTCTCTTCGGTGGTCCCAGCAGTAATTCGGCAGTTCACTGAGTAATTTAGGTTTCGGTAGCTCAAACGAACGGCGATATCCGCCAAGGTCAACACGGTGAGGTCCAAGAAGTTCCCAGACCAAGCCCACGGCCAATGATGCGGCTTTCACGTCAGCTACTGCACGTCTCAACATCGATACATATGGAGTCTCCTTGTCGGTAACTCTTTTAATCGTCTCCATGACGGGGGCTTTGAGTGCTGGATGGGGTCCAACTTCAATGCACAAGTCAGGCAGGCTATTCCTCTGAAACGAAAGTTCCAACGCCTGCGAGAAGAGCACGGGCTGCACCATGTTGTCCACCCAATACTGACCAGATAGAGCAGACATATCAGTATCTAGAGAGAAGTCGTTCTCCTTTACGCTCGAAGTCCAATTGCATCCTTCTCGTGGTGATCTCCCTCGGATATTGCACGCCTTCAAAGATGTCAAGTATGCGTCTGCACAAGCGCGCATGTGATGAGAATGATAGGCTACATCGACCCTCAAGATCCTAGAGAATGTATTTCGGTTGTCAAATTGTACTTTGGCTTCGAAGATGGCATCGCGATCACCTGAAAGGGTCACACTTGTGGGTGAATTACTGGCTGCAACAACGATTCTTCCCCGAAACAGTGGCTGGGTGCAGAATTGCGTCGCCTCGGTATAAGATAGGCTGGCGGCCATCATTGCACCGGGCCGTGATGAGCACCTGGTGCTCTCCTGTCTAGCGTGGTATCCACGATAGTAGGCGATCTTGATGGCGTCCTCTGCCGATAGGATCCCAGCGGCATAGGTAGCGGCAATCTCTCCCGAAGAGTGGCCCACAACAACATCAAGCTGTATACCAGCAGCACTGAGAAGATCGCAAATTGCAATTTCAATTGCTGTCGTCAGTGGCTGGCTTAATTCCGCTTCGGCGACTCTCGAAAATGGTTCGTCTGCAGTAAGTTCATTCTGTAGCGACCATGAAGGTCCATCCGGCAGACCCTCTAGTGCTCGCTGACATTTTTCAATTGAGTCTCGGAATATGGGGCAGGACTGGACCAGATCACGGCCCATGGCTGCCCATTGTGCACCTTGACCAGTAAAAATACCAAGAATAGCACTCTTTTCCTTCGGGCTCATTCGTGCCGAGCGATTGAGATCGGCTTCAAGGTCCGATTCTTTCATTTTAACGGTTCTCTCAATCATGCCCAAAAGCTCATCGCGGCTATTCGCAGAGAACGATGTTCTCAAGGGAAGAAACGTTCTTTTGCAACTTAGCACCCATGCTAAGTCGTTCAAACTTGTCGAGGGATGGCTTCTGACATAATTCGCCGTGAGCTGAAGATTTTGCATTAATGAGAACCGGGTCTTGGCAGAGAACACAAACGGACCTACGAGTAGGTCTCGATTGGCACTTTCAAGCACATCGTCTCTCTGTGAACTTACATCTGTGAGAGGCGTATAACTCTCAATGATGGCGTGCGCATTGGTTCCGCCGAATCCAAATGAGTTCACACTGGCACGCAGTGGGTTGTTTGGGACTAGAGAAGGCCATCTGAGATTTTGAGTTGGAACTTCTATATGGTTGTAGAATGGTTCGATCCTTGGGTTGAGCTTATCGAAAAGCAAATTCGCAGTAATCGTACGGTTTTTGATACATTCGACTGCTTTTAGTAGTCCTGCCAGGCCAGCACAACCTTCCAAATGTCCCACGAGTGTTTTGATGGACCCTACATGAAGCTTGTCGGCTGCGTTGAACGTGGAGTCTTTGGGGAAGAAAACTCTTTGGATTGCTTGGGCTTCAACAGGATCCCCTGCGGGTGTGCCTGTTCCATGGCATTCGAAAAGCTGACACCGATCTCTGACGGGATCAAGACCAGTGTTCAGGTATGTTTGCCGAATCAGGCTTGCCTGAGCCTCAACACTCGGCATCGTAATCCCGGGCGAGCGGCCGTCTGAGTTAATTAATGTCTCTCTGACTATGCCTGCTATGGTATCGCCGTCGGCTATCGCGTGGTTTAGCGGTTTCAGAATGACAGAAGCACATCCCTCACCCCGGGCGTAGCCGTCGGCCGCTTCATCCCACATTCGACACCTGCATGTAGGCGACAACATATGTAGTTTCGATTCGCTAACGTATGTTCCCACGTCCAGAATCAGATTGACTCCTGCAACAATGGCTAGCTCCGCTTCCTGATTCCTTAGACTTTGAACAGCATAGTGCAGCGCGACCAAAGAGCTCGAGCACGCGGTGTTGATCGTAATCGATGGGCCTTTCAAGTCAAAGAAATACGTTAATCGATTCGACAACAGACTAGGGGCTGTTCCGGTCGCATTCCACCTCCCAGCAGAATCTAGATCACGCATTTGGATGTCATGATAGTCTGAAGTCATGACGCCGACAAACACCGCAGTCGAGGATCCTTGCATTTGCTGAAGGGTATATCCTGCAGCCTCCAGGGCTTCGTATGTTGTTTCCAACAACACCCGTTGCTGAGGATCCATGCACTCAGCTTCGGAAGGAGAAATTCCGAAGAAGGCAGCATCGAAGTGACGGTGATCGGTGTGCAGGAGATAGGCTCTGTTTGGGACGTTTGTGGAGCCAAGGTGATCAGGGTCAGGATGATAGACGCCGGAGAGGTTGAGTTTATGGGAAGGGAAGTCGGTCAAGACATCGCGTGGATTGTAGAGAAGCTCCCAGAGTTCGGCCGTAGAGGTTACACCGCCTGGGAACCGGCAGGAACTACCCACAATTGCAATCGGTTCTTTCATTGTCTTTCTTGATATTCTCTTGGATGAAAGCTCCAATCTCACTTGTCATCTCTCTGCAGCAGGTGAAGCAGGTCAGCCTTCTGTTGCATAGTTGGGACACAATGCTATATACTCTCAGTCTTGACCACGGTTCTGGGCTCGAAAGGATGTCCTCAGGTCCTCTGGGTAAGCACCCCAGCGATTAGGTTTGGATCACGTAACGCTGACCAGAAGCATAAGTGGACATCCCATCTCGTTGCTCTCTCTGAAACCTGTAGAACTGGGTGCGAAAAGTGCTCCAGCAATTCAAGGGCTGGGATGTGCGAGTTTGAACCTTCCTGCGATCAGCTCTCGATTGACTTTGCGAGACGTCAGCTGAAAGAAATCATATACGATACTCACACCAACCATGTCGAGACTTGGTACTCCTTCACGGTTACAGAGAGACCCAAGAAGGAATATTTAAAGGACACGCATGCTGTGGAACCCATCAAGCTCGAAATTGTAACTTCTGTGCAAGGTGATATGGGGATAGATGTCCGCATGCCTGGCCATTGACATCACACCACTCGAGTCTGCAGCCTAGATCGCCCTAGAGAGTCATTGGTGAGGGCTCTGTATCTGGGCGACTCACGGCATGTGCTACGTTAGGGCTGAACTTCTAGTCTCCTTCGAACCGATTAGGAAGCTATGCCCAGGAAGTTGACGGTGGGTGCAACCTGCACGAGGTCACGATTATGGGGTGGAAAGGAACGCCCAATCATACTGCATAGGAACCTGCTTCCTTGTTACGAACATATAAACTCAGTCATTCTCAATTTATCGACTGCTATATCGTTGCTGCTTCTAATTCGCAGTCACCCCTCACCGTGATGGGAGTCTAATTTCGAGTGGAGTTCCTTTCTTGACCCACCAAAACAGCTCGCACATTCTTTGTCACGACCAGAATGGATGTCTCAGCTCAGCTCTCTCTACCATTTCAGACCCTCAGCCGCAGCTTCGCATTCTCGCGTAATGACGAAGTGAAATGGTGGCAGAGCACAGCTCCGATGTTTGCACGCATGATGGCAGCCGCCAAATACGAGGTTCATGCGCAATATCGGTTTTTGTGTATCCACCGTGAATTTGTCATTCCTAATCTGGGTCCATACCCCAGAAAGGGCCAACATATGCGCTGGAAGAGTCACTTGACCCGCTTTGGACTGCCTTTTGAATTGAGCTTCAACTACTCCAAATCACTGCTGCGGTTCGCCTTTGAGCCCCTCGGGCCTCTGACGGGGTCCGAAACTGACCCTTACAATACTAAGCAAATTCACACGGTCCTGAGAGCACTCAAAGCTGTGGTTGCAGATCTCGATCTGGAATGGTTCAGCCATTTCGTCTCAGAGCTAGTCGTCACGGACGAAGAGGTTGAGAATATTCGAAAGAATAGACTGGAGATTCCATGTTTCAAAACCCAGAACAAACTAGCTGCTGATCTAGAACCCGACGGTGGGATCGTTTTCAAAGCGTACATCTATCCGCGAATCAAGTCAATTGCGTCTGGCACGCCCAAGGACCAATTGATGTTCAACGCCATACGTAAAGCCGACCCAGGTGGAAGTTTAAGAGCACCACTGGCAGCATTGCAGGAATTTATGGCCTCGAGGAGCGCGACACTCATTCCCCACTTCCTTTCTTGCGACCTGGTCCAGCCCTCCAAATCTAGAATCAAACTTTACTGTTACGAAACCCAACTAGAGTTGGATTCGATAGCGGATATATGGACTGTCGGTGGACGACGAACCGACCCGGGGACCATAGCGGGGCTCGAATTACTGAAGGAGCTGTGGCAGCTACTACCCATCACTGAAGGACGCTGCGCTCTTCCAAATTGCTTCTTTGAGCTTGGCGAGTCACCCCAGGAACAACTACCCTTTATAACCAATTTCACCCTGTCTCCCAACAGTCTTCTTCCCGAGCCTCAGATCTACTTTCCATCGTTTGGTCAAAATGACAAGGTCACTGCGGATGGCTTAGAAGCATTCTTCAGTCGTGTGGGCTACGAGGGGATGGCAACAACGTACGCGTCGGACCTCGCCGCCTATTAGTGAGTTCTACTACTTTTCACCTTCCCTTTTCTAAGACACTATATACAAGAATGGCAGGTTGACAAACCCAAGCCCCGATCAGAATCTTGCCGACACAAAACATGTCCAAGCCTGGATCTCTTTCTCCTTCCGGCAAAACCAGCCGTACATGAGCATCTATTTGCATACCTTCGAAGCCATGGGTTGTGCTCTTGGAAGACCCTCAGTGAGGTTCAAAGAGCAATAGTCGATTGATCTGACGCACCATGCTAATCTTTTAGAAGTACCAGCTACTATGTCATCGCAACCATGTTCGCTTTTTCTTCTTGCTACTTGCCCGCTCTAGAGCATGTATTCTCCTGTTACTCGAATTACGATGCGTACATATGTTATTCTTGTCCATGGTTAAATGCGAGTCTTCTTGTCATATCAACAGTCCTTTCCTTGGTTGATCTGTAGGTGTGCCAACCCTGCACCATTTTGCCGACTTAGAGGGTATATGCGTCCTCAGATATGCGGTCGAGTTGCGCAACAATACATGGCTGGGGTCGGGGGGGGGGAGGCGGGGTGGTATACCAACATCTCTGAGGGTATGCGTGTCACCTGCTGGGATCATGGATATGGGCTACGTCAGTTCAGAATGCGGCGACTGAAGCATCAAGCGCTTTATTGGTGTGCTGTCTGAGACGCTTTGTACCACGAAGGTGGATGGGGCGTCTTCCCGCGTCAACATATATCACCGCACATCAGCTGTCTGCTACGAGGGACACCCAAATGTACCCGCAATTGTCGCATTGACACGGTCTCAACTAAGCCTATGTCAAGTGGGGCGCCATAATACACGAATATCAAAGATAGCAACAGCTTGTACCAGAACCAATGCAAATTTATAGGCATGAAAAGTGTTTTGGAAATAAGTATCATTTGTGAGTATAAGTGAGATAACAGGCAAAACAAACACATACGACCACAGGGTGTGGAAAACAGGGCTTCCCGTCCGCTCAGCCGTACTTAAGCCACACGCCGGGAGGTTAGTAGTTGGGTGGGTGACCACCAGCGAATCCCTTCTGTTGTATGTTTTTATTTTGGTTTTTCGTGCCCCAACCACCAATGTACGAAAGTAGAGCAGTCTCACGTGGATGTTTGTCACCTACTGCAGGTTTGGCATCGAATATGATCACATTTATATGTTTCACGTTGTGTAAATCCTATCCTGTCTACTGTACCGCGCCGCACTACCTGAAAAGTACGAACCGAGACGGCGGTCAGGTACGGCAGAAGCCATGGGGCTGCTGCCTTACTGTGGCACTGCGTTGTTATTCTTGATCCTCCTCCCTTGCAACCGACCTGGCGAGTGCAACATCAGTTTGCTTCAGTGGCAATATTCTAGCATTTTATGTTTGGAACAAGGTGGGGTTGGAAGGGCTTTCAGTTCAGTGTGACCATTATTCTCCGATTCATACCGGGGGTTATACTCGATTCTGATGTTGTGGCTCTGGGTGCGTCCGGTGTGAATTTGAGTAAGCTTTCCACTGAACCTGTGCTTTCTTTTCAACAATTGAGACGCAGAGAGTTGTGTGCCCGGGACATCGAGCTCGATTTCGATCTTTTATGAAGATCATTGTTCATACTATCCTCGACATCATCTCAGCACAAGGCATCGTCAAGAATATCACAGGAATTCAATGAATGTGAGCGCTGAGATGGGGTACGGCTCGATCATGTCACAGGCTGGATAGCCTTACCATGCCGAAGCTTATATGTGGTGACAGTCTCGCCCGTCCCGAAAAACCTCCGAGATTACAGTTTGCCACACAAAGTCAACCTTAACCATATTTCATGCACATCGACGTATCCAGACGCTCAGCGGCTGACCGGGGTGAGAAAGATGCGCAAAGGCTTGACCCCCCAGGTGTTGAAGACAGGGGTATCGCAGTCCCAATTCTCCGACTCCGGGGACAGCTGCCAGTCAAACTCCCAGATGAGCCGACACAGCACCAGATGCAACTCGAGCTTGGCCAGACTTTGCCCAAGACAGTTGCGGGGCCCGACACTGAACACCTGCATCGCGTGTCGATCGTCCTTCGCATACGCCGGATCGCCCAACCACCGCTCCGGGATAAATCTCTCGGGATCCTGGAAATTGAGACGTGAGTTGTTGGCGGCAAAATGACAGATGCCCACCTGCATGCTCCCGGGGATCCATTGCCCCGCAACCCAGGCCCCTTCCTTGGGAACTCGCCGAGGGAAGACGGCGGGCCCGGGCGGAAATCTTCGCATAGCCTCGGTGAAGCAGGCGGGCAGATACTTCAGTTGATTCACACCGATGGAAGTGATCTCCCCCGGTTTTTGAAATGTGCTTCGAACCTCCTGAACCACCTTAGCCTTGGCTTCTGGGTATTGAGTGAGGTAATACGTTGTAGCGCTCAGGGCTGTGCTGGTGGTTTCACTCCCGGCGATAATGAGCGTCGAGCAGTTACCGTCGATCTGGTATCGCTCCAGTTTGTGGTCTGGGTTGAGAAGATTGGCGGTCAAGTCATTGTACGTCACCTTACTCTCGATCCTTCGCTGGACCTTCTCATGGGTAAGCTGCTTGTGAGTGGCGAAGGTTTCGGCGTAGGATTTGGGGAGGAGCCTCAATAGTGCGCTGGACACAGAGGGATAGTAGTTGAGGGCCTGCATAAAGCCACGATACTTCATGACCTCGAAGATCATGGCTACCCATGGTTGATAGGTGGAGCTTTCCAGGCATCCGAAGGACTCCCCGAAAGCTAGCTCCCCAATCAGATCGAACGTGAAGAACTAGTAGGGACGGTCATACAGTGACACTCAATAGCGTATCACGCCAGCCATTGGCTCGGAATGTAGTCCGCTCACATTGAACCAGGAGGTCATCTCTGGCGCGACGCCTTTCGATGCCTCCCCATGCAGCTGTGCCAACAGCAGGTCAATCTTGCCCTGGATTACGGGCTCCTGTTCTCGAAGGGCTGCCTCGGAGAAGCCCTTCGAGAGCAACCGCCGATAGAGGCGATGGAGATCATGCTCGGCCGTGACGATGGCATGAGGCGTTCGTGGACCGCGGAACAGCGGCGTATCTTTGCTCATCTCCAGTCGACCAGGCTGCAGGCCGTAGATCACCTCCCATGCTTTGCTGGAGGTAAACAGAACTTCATCCGGTGCGATCCGCACGACCGGGCCGTACTTCTCATGAGCCTGGTGGGCGAATCGGACCACCGTGCCAGATAATAAATGGTAGGAATGTACTAGGCGAGTCACGGCTGCAAGCCGCGGTCCTGGATATTTGGCAAGTGGATGGAATTTGAGCAGGTATACCGCAGTGAGGACGGCATACTGGATGAATCTGTTAGCCTATAATACTTACTCCATAGTAACCTCTCTTACTAGTATCGTAACCACTACTACTGTTGCTATGATCCCCCCAAACGTGACTACTCTGAGCGGCATGAGAGAATAGTCTACAGCCCACGACATGATGGTAGCGTGCCAGAGGCTTGAATCAACCTTATAGAACAGAGTTGCATGAAACGAGGTGAGTCAGAAATATCAATATACAAACCATGATTTGGGTCGTATTCCTAGATTTCGAGTCATTGAGTAATTTATAATTTACCTATCCGTGCAGTGGGCAGTGTCTGGCATTCGGGCGAGAATCCCGAATCTCTGACGTCTCCCAACCAACCTATGAATCACCTGCTCTTTCCTCTTCGGCCATCTCCCAATTCCCATCCCTCTTTCAGCTCCAGACTTTCCCTCCTCAACGCTCCTCAGCTCTCCTCGAATTCTAGTGTACTCAAATTTTCGACCTTCACCAACTATTTTCATCAGGGGACGCACGCTGAGTGTCCTATTATCTCCCGATTGGGAGGTTGGGTTTCACAACTGGTTACTCCAAGGGAGGCACGTGCTGCGGTCTTTGAAAGCAGATGGAACGCAGATACACCTCTGGTTCACAACACACACACCTTCCTACGTCGCTGGCGCCTTGCGAGCAACACTACCAACGTCGACTACGACACACAACGGATACCTGAAGAGATAGTACGACCAGCTATGAAGGTGGAAGCCGACTCTGCAGTCGTCGATTGGGATGGCCCCGACGACGCAGCCAGACCAATCAATTGGCCGAGACACAAGAAGTGGCTGAACATCTTCAGTGTCTCGTTCTTGACTTTCTTGACCCCCTTGGCTTCTTCCATCCTGGCGCCCGCCACGGGCTTAGTTCTCAAGGAGTTTCACTCCACCAACAGGACTCTTGGCTCCTTCTCAGTCTCCATTTACCTGATCGGCTTCGGCCTTGGCCCCCTTATTCTTGCCCCGTTGTCGGAGATGTATGGTCGCCTGAGCGTTTACCAAATCACCACAGCCATCTTCGCTGTGTGGAACATCGCCTGTGCTCTAGCCCCCAACCTTGGTGCTCTCCTGGCCTTTCGGATGCTCGCTGGTCTGTCCGGTAGCGCTCCCATGACATTGGGCGCGGGAACGATCGGTGATCTCTTTGTTCCCCAAGAAAGAGGATTGGTCATGGCCATCTGGGGGGTAGGTCCGCTCATGGGTCCGGTGCTAGGACCGATCGCTTGTGGTTACCTCTCCGAAGCTGCAGGATGGCGCTGGGTCCTTTGGCTGGTTGCCATCGTGGTGAGTACGAGGGGCTTGGCTTACCAATCATTGTGCTTTCGTGCTGACATCCCCTCTTGCTCTCAGTCAGGTGTCGCGTTGGTCTTTACCCTACTCCTCCAGTCGGAAACCTACGAGCCTGTGCTACTCCAGCGTCAAGTCAACCGATTGAAACAGGAAACTGGCAACCCCAATCTCTACTCTGACAAGACTCTGAGTGTCAATGCGAAGAACAGCATGGTTCAATCCATCGTCCGACCGCTGAAAATGCTCTTCTTGTCCCCGATAGTAGCGCTATTCTCAATCTATATTGGTTAGCTGTCACTCTGGCTTTGCATTTCGCTGTTTTCAGAATCGCGGTCTCTAACCGCTTTTTTCCGATCACAGGAATCGTTTTCGGTTACCTCTACCTGCTTTTCACGACAATCACCCACATCTACGAAACTACATATCACTTCACCCAGGGTAACACCGGCCTGGTCTATATCGGGGTCGGGGTGGGTGCTGCCATTGGGATGGCAATTTTCGGCGCATTGTCCGACAAGACCCAGATTCGACTCACGGCGCAGAACAATGGTCAATCAGAGCCTGAGTTCCGACTGCCTCTGCTGATCCCGGGTAGCACCTTGGTGCCTATGGGTCTGTTCTGGTACGGCTGGTCGGTCGACAAGCATGTGCACTGGATCATGCCCATCATCGGTTTGGGCTGGATCGGGCTGGGTATGATAGGAACGTTTTTGCCCATCCAGTCATATATGGTTGATGCGTTTGGCCCCTACGCAGCGTCTGCCGTGGCTGCAAACACCCTGGTCCGATCATTCGTCGGAGCGTTCCTGCCACTTGCAGGTCCCTCCATGTATGCGACGTTGGGGCTGGGATGGGGCAACTCCTTGCTCGGGTTCATTGCCTTGCTCATGTTACCGGTGCCGGTCATTTTCTATTACTACGGCAAGAAGATTCGAACGAAGTTCGAGGTTACCTTCTAAGGTCACCTCAGCGACCGACGAATTGTCTGCAAATAGCGTGTTGTAGATCGATGGCCTTACGATACATAGCTCTGATGGAGTACAGTGAGACAGACTGATTGGAGTAAGCTTTGCCTGCTGGACGGGGTCATGTTAAGATAGATGACTGGGAATTGATACAGAGCCGGAGTGAGGCGTGGTGAGGTCTTTACTTGCAAGAGCGCCCACTAGCGTGGTGCAACCACAGGTAGTGAACCGTTAGCGAGGTTGTTGAGGTAATAGTGTGGCACAATGATCTGTTCACAGTGCAATGCAGGGGGCTGTCCCCACCTCTCTCACGTCGTACGTCCTCCGGCAAGGCGACGATATGGGGTGTTTTGAAAATTCGATGAAGCCGGTTTGATCAGGCAATTCAGGCGTTCAAGAGTGGCGTGCAGCTTGGCAAGAATGAATGGTCCAGGCGAAGATCGAACCTGGAAGCTAATTTGCATCACCAAATCCAGCCTTCATGATAAGCGGTAGTGTTTGTCGGCTGGCGCACCGCATCAAACCAAGTGTTGTTTTCTGCCTTAGGCACCACATCCATTCAGCATGAGCGACTTCAATCCCCACGTTGACGAGGCTAAATCTTCCCTCGCCCAGCTCAACAGAATCAACCTCGACGACCCAACAGCACACAAAGAAGCCATTCTTCAATGCCAGTCTGTCATTGATGCTCTGCGGAGACCCGGGGATAAAGCCTTGGAGAGCTTCACAACAGTCTGGCTCGCTCCTTCATGTCGGAAGCCCAAGCTAACAACTGCAGTTTACCATCTTCCCCTGTCTTCGAACCGCAAGTGACCTGGGCATTTTCGAGAAGCTGAGCCATGGGACCTTGACGCTTCAGCAGCTGGCAGAGCAGACGGGAGCGGCATCAAGCCTCCTCGGTGAGCTCAGCCTCCTAGCACGCTCTGATCGAACCAAAGCTGACCAACTCCAGCTCGACTCATGCGAGTCATCACCGGCACTGGCGTCGTGCGCGAATCCAGCCCAGAGGCTTACACAGCAACCCCTACGTCGGACATTCTGGCAACCGCAGCATTCGCCGCCGGTTTCCGCATGTTGTATGTCCTCACTGCCTGGGGTGATTCCGATTAGACGAGCTCGCTAACACTTCCGCCCCGCAAACAGCGGCAACATCGTCCCCAACCTACAAAGCTTCCCCGACCACCTCCAAGCAACGCAGTACCGCAACCCCTCTGACAGCGACAGCCCCTCGGGGATCTTCCAATCCTGCTTCCACACCGACCGCAGCTTCTTCCAATGGCTCGCCGCCAACCCCACCATCGCCCGCGACTTCAACACCTTCCAAACCACGAAGCGCAACCAACAGCACTGGAGCGACAGCTACCCCGTTTGGACGCGCTTTACCACGGGCGGTGTTGACACCCTCGACTCCGATGCGCCCCTGCTGGTCGACGTCGGCGGCGGCATGGGCCACGACCTCCGCGTCCTGAAGACCAAGTTCCCCGTCCCGCTGCAGACGGGGCAGATCGTCCTCCAGGATCAGCGGTCGGTGATCGAGACCATCCCCGCAGACCTGCGGGACCCAACAATCGAGTACATGCCGTATGACTTCTTCACGCCGCAGCCGGTGCAGGGAGCGCGGGTGTACCTGCTCAAGCACATCATCCACAACTGGCCGGACGAGAAGGTGATGGACATCCTGCGGAACGTGGCTGCCGGAATGCGGAGCGGGTATTCGAAGCTGTGGCTGTTCGGGGGCATTGTGCCTGAGATGCACGCGCCGCGGATTCTGGCGAGGATGGATATCGTGATGATGGTGTTTATGGCGGCCATGGAGCGGACGGAGAGGCATATCACGGAGCTGTTGCGGCGGGCGGGGTTGGTGGTTATGGGGGTGGATGTGGTGATGGAGGGGTATGGGGTTATTGAGGCGATGTTGGAGGCTTGAGGACGTTTCTGGTCGCATGTTCTCTGTAACCGTGGAGTTGAAATTGCTTGAATGTAGAGAACGGTATTATCTGAAGATGACAGGATAGATTGCTAAGGGATGTCAGGAATGTAACATTTTATCGTCTGACGACTAACCTTAATGAAGACACCTCACATCACAAGGTTAATGCGAGTTCGGATGCGCCAGACGCTGACGGTAGCTCTTCCAGAAGTATAGCATACGAAGAACACGAACAGGGCAAGTACCACAGAGCCAACAGGGGAATCGTCACTACGTAGACACCTCGAGTCTCATCCTTCACTGACCAATATTTGCCTGCCGTACCTATAAAAGCCATCTCTTCATGCCCCCTTCGCATCACAACCCTCCACCCCCCACCCCCAGCTAACTGCCCTCAAACTCACCAACCCAATCCCATACCCCCCAATAATGACCACCCCGTGGCTCCCACCCTACGAAGAAGGCCTCCTCCCTTACTTCCTCCTCTACGTATGTCCATCCATCCTCTCCCTGCCCGACAAAAGATTGTAACCTTAAAGCAGAGCACCCTAGCCACCCTAACCCACAGCCTGGCAACCTACCTCCGCCCGCTCCCCTCCATCCAAGCCTTCTCGGGCCCGAACGCGCCGGCCCGATCCCCGCTCCTCGCGCACGTCTACGGCTTCGCCAACCTGCTGGCGGGGGTCATCCGGGGCGCGGCCGCGTACCACATCCACGACGCGCCCGTGTACGATCTGGCGCTGCTGAGTTTCGGGGCGGTTCTGGGGTTCTATGTTGCCGAGGTGGTCGTGTGGCGGACGGTGCGGGTGCGGGAGGGGGTGGTGCCTGTTGTTGCTGCGGGGGTGGGGGTGGCGTGGATGGGGTGGGCGCGCGGTGGGTATCTTTCTTTATCTTGATTTAGGGGAGGGTTCAGCTGAGACGGGGATGGGGTGAAAGGGGATTGCATGTTTTGAAGTGTAGTGTGGTTGGTGTGTTATACCTGTTAAGAAGTATAGGGGGGTGAGAGGCTTTTTAGTTTATTCGAGTGTTTATTCTGTTGATTGTGTATTCACAATCAGAGGCGACCTTTGATAAGGTGAATTCTTGTCCGATTGCGAGTGCTAAAGCATTTCAGAAGAAATTGAAGAGAAAAAGAGAGAACAAAAAGAGAGAACAAAAAGAGAGATACGAACAACCGCAGCCACCTGAAGGAGGTCGAGCCACGGCTGTAAATTGCGGAATATGCAAAAAGATATGACAAGAGTGGGATTCGAACCCACGCCATCAAACGATGATCAGGAAGCTGTGAAGCTGTATGCTAAGGTAACCTTAACCTGACGCCTTAGACCAACTCGGCCATCTTGCCTTAACTGATGTAAGGGTGACTTTGTCATTGATTGATACGCTGTGAAAGAAGTGACGCATTCTCGATCGCATCCTTACTACCAGGAAACAACACAAATCCAAATACGCCTCGCCTCGTGTCGGTACATTCAACCCACCGTGCAACGCTACCCCGTACAATCTGGTAGCTTCAGCTCTCGCCTGGCCTTGTACCGCCGACAGGCCATCACCAGCTCGGCGGAATGTCACCACGGAAGCCCTGCCCAGGCGATACAAATGGTACCCAGACCAGGGTAGATGCCATGCTACATTCAATTTTCACCGTGTGGGACCATCCTCTCGCCCCTTGCCAGTCCAGAGCTCGAATCCGCCGACCTTGAGCAACTACCCGATTGATGGCCTCGTTATCGCACGAGAAGTGCCCGATTGGGGCGTCACTGAGCGTGCGGATGAAGGTTTCGCCAACCCCGATTGTCAGGTACCCTCATATGCGGATGACCTGTCTCCAGATCGTGTGCAACATTGCGCTCTGCCGGTCTGTATCTCGGTCGCGCGGGGTCTTCACTGTAACCGAACGATGCTGCGTCCTGTTCTCGATCACCGTCCCCGTGAAGTGACATCCGTGTTGCCTTGGGACGAAATCAGACTCGACTGGAGCCATCCACATAGTGGTGGTATCACGACATCATCTGGTCAGGGTTCTAGAACATCAGCACATGTCTGAAGCTTTATGACACCTGAGGCCTTTTTGTGTTGGCCGCCCGGCTTGGCGGAGTTGGAGCATCGCGTACGATACCCACAGATCTATCCTCGATCCTTTGTCCTCACCGGCTGTATTGAACAGCATCATCTTAAAAGGCGCAACTCAAAAAGTGCCCGCGAGCGACAATTGGCACGCATCCACATGCGCTGTCGCAGATTATGATCGTTCCTCGAAGAATGTCACGAAGGACGGGTCTTTATCGAGAGTCGGCGAGATAGACAGAGGGCGGTTTGGTGTAATCCGATTGTGCGTGGTCTCGAGGTAGTCTGTCCTCAGCATCATGGGACGGAAGAGAGGATGATTATGGCAGCATTTTGTATAGCCATTAGAATCTGGCAAGAGCGACTTGAAGGTTAGAATCGAGCGATGCTGTGAGCGCTTTGGTCGTGTTGCGATCCACCGTTTCGCTATTGCTGTAGGTACTATCTCCAGCCAGCAACGATGATGGCAATAGCTTTCAGCCTCTTTGGCCTGTTTTCGTGTCTCCTTGGGGCCGGGGCTGACGCGGCTTCCGAGACAAGCACTCGCGATGTGGTGATTGTGGGCGGAGGAAGCACCGGCACCTACGCGGCCATCCGCCTCAAGGACCTGGGCAAGTCCTTCGTCGTGGTCGAGCGCAGCAACCGTCTGGGTGGTCATGCAGAAACCTTCTATCCAGCCAATCACACCCCCATCAACTACGGGGTCGAGGGACTCTTCAACACCAGCGCGACGCGAGCGTATCTACACCGACTCAACGTCACGTATGAAGTGCGCGTGCCCGCCTCGTCCACGGACCAATATCTCAACCTGAGAACCGGCGCCAGGGTGCAGGTCGAGCCCTTTGACGAGCAGCAGGTCCTGAAACCATACCTCGATGCCATCGCCCAGTTCCCCTTCCTCAGCGACGGGGTCTACGACCTACCCGACCCAGTCCCAGAGGACCTGCTGCTCCCGTTCGGCGACTTTGTGAAGAAATACCATCTCGAAGACACCATCCTCCCGAACATCAATCATGGCTGCGGCGACATCCTGAGGACGATGACCCTCTACCACGTCCAATACCTCGGAATCCCGCACGCCAAAGCCCTGGGAGAAGGCTACATCCGCCCGGTGAACGGCATGGCCGAGATCTACGCCCGGGCAGCGAAGGAATTGGCCCCCCACCTCCTGTTCAGGACGACCATCCGATCTGTCCGTCGCACCCACAACGGCGTCGAGGTCACCGTCCATCACGCCAACGGGACAGCGCGACTCATCCGTGCGAACCAACTCCTCCTCACCATCCCCGTGACGCTCGAGAACCTGCGCAACATCATCGACCTCGACGCGCACGAATCGGACCTCTTCGCCCGCTGGCGCCACCAAACGTACTACGCCGCCCTCATAAATAACACCGGTCTCGTCGAAGGGGTGAACTTCCTTAACATCGACCCGGACAACCCTCTGGCCGTGCCATACGAGCCGTTCATCTGGCGAATCGACGCCCAGCGCGTCCCCGGATACCGCACCATCAAGCTAGTGGGGAACCAGTCCTTCAGCGCGTCCGATGCGCGGCAGTTGTTGGTGGAGACGTTTGCCCGGCTCCGCGCCCAAGGTACGTTTCCGACGGCGCGGAAGCCGCAGATCGTGACCTGGGGAGACCACACGCCGGCGACGATGAGTGTGAGTGCAAACGAGATTCGGGATGGGTTCTACAGCGAATTGTATGGCTTGCAGGGACGGCATCGCACGTTCTACACAGGGTTGTCGTGGGCGTCGGATTACTCGACCTTGCTGTGGGGGTATACGGATACCGTAATTGAGCAGATGCGAGCGGCTTGGGGACAGGCGATGTGAGACATTCTCGCTCATGGTTTCCGGGTGACAGGGAGATGCAGAGTTAAATATGTCATATTGTTTGTGATCTCTGAGTTGTCGTTTCATGGTAACCATGCGCCTCATGCGTTTTGACGTTCCCACTGACTATTCATAAAGAGACCGAATGTGTAATCCGTTGGTACAGTAGATGAAAGGCACAAACAAGTCTTTGCTCAACAAAGGCTCAGTACCAAAGCCTTGCGGGTGGGTGGGAAAGTGTCAGCCAATCTGAGATAGTGAAAATGAACTCACGAATGACCGTACCTCCGCAAACCACGTACACCTCCATTAGAGACTTCGTTTCTCTTTTTCGTCGCCACCATTTCAGGACAACAGACTGCAGAGCGCGCGCATCACTCCGGTCCAGGCACAGCATACTATTAGGGATTCAGCGTATTCAAACTGCAGACACCGACCCTTCAGCTCGCATTCGACCATCAATCACTACTACTCCGCCCATTCCTGGCCAGCAAACAACACCTTGAGCATCCAGCTATGCCCTCAGTCCGACGCCAGGAGCAGCTCGAGCCGCCCGTCACCGCCCGAGCTCAAATGATGACTTCGGGTGTACGGGACGTCTTCAATTTCCCAGGATCGAGCCATTATACGTCTCGTCTCCACGACAATGTCCGCCGGGCAGGTGTGGTTCCAGTGTTTCGCCGTCGGGGTCGCGTTGCGCAATGCTCGCTCTATCCGATATCTCTTCCGCCCGGGTGCCGAAATTCAAGGAAGCGCTCGCTCGGTCGATTCATCTCCTACGCCTCGCAGGCTCGGGGACGTTACTCAGTAAGCAAAGCGACGAGATCCTTACGGATACCATGCATATTATCTCGTCGCAAATTGATCGCGCGGCGGGTGATGACGAGACGGAACATCCGTTATGAAAAAATCAGGAGGCCGTGCCTGTTCGGGTTGAGTTCGAGGTTCTTGATCTCCGGTCTGGCATTGTAGTAGTTGATGAAGAGACCTGGTGCAATCTGGGCAGACTATTTGACTTGGATGGGTTTGATGTTTCGAGCTCGACGCCACCGTACCGTGTGTTTGCTTTCTAAGTTCAAGTATGTGTAAGTGGGACTGACGGCGGCTGCTTGGGTTTGTTGGGTAGGATGTATGCAGACTAGTGTTCAACATTACCGACAATAAGGTCTGGTATTCCAATCCCACAGCCTATAGGTGTGTGAGCACGGTTGAATGTGTGGACACAGGAGAGGAACTTGGAAGCTCAACAAGTGGTCCACGGTAGGCCTTCAGTCAGTTCCTTGTGAATCTGCGGGGTGCAGTGCGGGTGCGGGGGCGGGGTAATTCCGAAGCGACTGTCGGCCGACCTGACCCTCCGGTGCATGACAAAACACCGAGCATCTTCGGAGAAAGAATACAAAATCACTAAGATTGATAGTGTTGACCGTCCTTCATAGCAATTGGATTAACTCAGCACCAGCTGAGCGTACGAGTCACACTGATATTCTGTTGGGGCATAAACGAACTCATTGAACCTTCTCCGCCACATGTACCAAGTTCGGTGGACCTCGGATGTTGAATCTCAAAGGTGGTCGGGATCTCGTAATCAATGTCCTCCTGACGCCCTCCAATTTCGGGTTTCCCTACGGCATACCTAGGTACTTAGTACCAGGTACCGTAACAATCCCTGCAACTGAGACTGGATGGTGTGGTGGGGAGAAACCATTCTGACCGAGGTATCTTCCCCGCTCGTTGAATTTGGCCACACACACCGTATATGATAGATATTCCTGCCACCGACCGTCCAAGCCCACCCTGTCATCCGGCCCTATCCATACAACGCACCGTCACGACAAAAGCACTGCCATACGCCTCAGAGGATCAAGTACGCACACGTACTCACAAACGATGGAGCCCCCCAACGGAAAGACACCCTCCTCCTCCACGAACGGATTCTTCCAACCACTTCCTGTCATCCCGCCCGCATACACCTCCTCCTCCACCACCACGACC